AATGCCTATTAATTGACCATACTTCTGACACTGGGTCTGAGGCTTAATAGTCAATAACTCAATATATTGAGTTCATATCTGTGGAACCCTTATTTAGGTCTTAGAGACCTCTAATCTCGATTGCTTGATGAGGTTTTAAGTTGTTAAGGTATGGGATGTTGTTGATGTAGAAATCTAGTTTATAACGGGGTTGAAACTCAACCCCATAGATTTACAAATCTCCATTGCCGTGTAGGTTAAAACTCGATTCCAAACTGATATGAATCTTGACTTTAAAATGGTATGAATCTTGATCCTAAATATATCGAAAACTCGATTCGAAAGATGTCGGAATCACGATCCTGTATGTGAAGGAATCTCATTTCCATAGGGAATGATTATTTGGAAACTCGATTCCAAAGTGGTCGTAATCTCGATTCCTTGTATATAGGGATCTCTACTCCATTTGGGTTGAAACTCGATTCCTATAAAGTGGTAATCCCATTTCCCACAATTCCTCTCGTATGGATGTCTATTCCGAAAACAAGAATCTTCTAGCTAGTTGCAATTCCACGATTCTGATTCCTAAAACAATTCAGAATGTCAGGCATTTCCAACAACTACGTGAAAGGTGTGGCTGTGTAGAACTCAAAACAATAAATTCAAAAATTATCCTTTTTGACTTTTATTAATATACCTGAATTCCACTTGCATAGGCCACAATACATTGTTGTAAATAAAAAATAAAGTCCTAAATACAACCTAAGACCTTTCCTTTTACTGCCAAAGTAAATAAACACAACCCGGAAACAATATCCAAATCTTCCACTATGAATTTAAATACAATATATGTGCCTGAAACATTATGCAAATATGACTGAAGAGTAATAAAATCATTTTGGAAGACTTACTTGATCATACCTAGGGTTACCCCTATAGGACTTGATACACCCCCTTGACTGATGAGATACACTGTTGTCCCTTTTGGTCTTGTTAAAATTTCAATGATGGGAAACTTTCATAGGTAATATCTCTTACTTTAAGGTTTTAGAGAGCATAGAAACCTAATTAGGGTTTGTAAGAATCCTTAGGAACAAATTAGGGCTTAGCTTGAAGGCATAGAATCCTCCTATGGCTGGGCCTACCCCTTGTTCTTCTCCAAACTGCAAAATCCTTATTAGGGTTTCAATGTGCCACCCTTGCCTCACCAAATTTTGGGTGGCATGACCCGTTTTGGAAGGAGGAGAGAGAAAAAAAAAATTAATGCGAGAGATTTGGTGTATGGAGGAGAGAGAAATATGTTGTAGACAGAGAGGGGCTTAATGGCATTTAAATAGAAAGAATTCCTTCTCCTGGAGAACCATCAACTAATATAACAGAGACAATGGGAATTGACTGATCAAGAAAAGAAAACATAGAAGACTCACTAGTCATATGATAGTGGCTCTTGAGTCAATGACCCAAGAAGATGGTCTCTGAGACACAAGGAATGCAAAATTACGTGTATTTACAAGAGTAGCAGTGGTGCAGAGGAATGAGTTCTGGGATGCTGATTATTTTCATAAGTTTATTGTAAGCAACTTTTCCTCATGTGAGAGCAAAAGTCAATCCCCAGTAGAATCGAGATCCTGGAAATTAACATTTGAGCTAATAGGATGGATGTCATCACCTTCAGGGAGCCATAGTATTCCAACTTTGAATATTTTGAATAGAAAATAGAAATCATGGACCCAAATATATTGGAGCAGAAATAAATGATTGAATATGTGGCTAGCTAGATGTCTATATCTTTATTGCATCTACTTAGATACATAATGTAACTGATGTGACTCATTACAAGTATCGCAAAAGAAAAATTTTAAACTACATAGACCGTGCTAGTTCACATCGTCCACTTTCACCTATAGCTTAAAGAGAGAAACTCCCCTAGATAGAGAAAGTAAGCTAGAGAGAAACTCCTAAAGACATAAACCCTAAATTTACCTCTAGGCTTCCCAAGTTCTAGAGAGAGAAAGTCGATCCCCATCAATTCCCCATGCAAGATACACCTCAAATCAACCCAAGGCTAGCACGAGAGAGAGCATTGGGACTTCTCTTGGCATCCCAAAGCTAGGTAGTCTAAAAGGGTCCCAAAACGACATAGGAGATTCTTAAACCACAAAAAATTGTAAGCGTTTACTTGCTTAAATAAAACATTTGTGTTTCTAATTATCTTGTGTTTGCCTGCTTTAATTTGAAGTCTTCTTTTATATATAAATTGTCACACACGCACACACATGGAAAATTGTGACACCTCCAACTGTGAGCTTTTCCACTTGTGATTCAAATGGATGCTGCCACCATAATATTGCAATACTTTGAAGTCCTCATATGAAAATGCCATCTTGTTAACGGGACCACAATCACCTCTTCTTCTCTTCATCGTAGATTTATCAAAGGCTTATTCAGCAAGTTACTCAACAGATAGGAGATCAACTAGGGGGTATTGTTGTACTTATTAGATGAAAACAAAATTATAGAGGCAGGATCCATTTTAGAGGTGGGGTACAGTCCGATCATTTTCACTGCATGTGACTTGAGTGGCTAAAGGTCCTCTTTGGAGATAGTGATGTCTTGGTTCTTGATTTATGAACATGTATTCTGGCAAACAACCTCATGGAGGGCAAACTTCTTCTTATTTTTTATCTTTATTCAATTTTAATGATATATATTGTAGTTTTAGTTTTAGGGTTTATTTCTAGGATTTTTAGGAATTCTTTATTTTTCATTTACTATTCACGAGTACTATGCATGGTACTACCATAGTTATTGTTCACTGTTACTGTTCACACATTCCTATTCATGTGTTACTGTTCACATGGGTATTTTTGAAATTTTGGTATTATTTTAGGGGTATTTTAGAGTATTAAATATATACTTGAATCTCTAGTTAGATTAGGGTTTCATGGGCTTATAAAATGTTGGATGTCATAGTTTGGGGAATATGTTATTAGAATGGATTTATTTTATCAAAGAAGAAACTTCTTCTCTTGACTTGATTTATAACCATGTTCTTTCTCTATTATTGCTTGATTCCCCTTCCCTGAACCTTAAACAAGTAAAATCAGCAACAATAGAGAAAGAACATGATTGTAAATCAAGCCAAGAGAAGAAGTTTCTTTTTTGATAAAATAAATTTATTCCAATAACATATTATCCAAACTATGACATCTAACCTTTTATAGGCCTATGAAACCCTAATCTAACTTGAGATTCAAGTATATATTTAATACTCTAAAATACCCCTAAAAAATATAAAAAATAACCCTATGAACAGTAATGCATGAACAGTACTGTGAACAATAACTATGAGCAGTACCATGAATAGTACTTGTGAATAGTAAATGAAAAAATAAAAATCCTAAAAACCTTAGAAATAAACCCTAAAATTAAAACTACAATATACATTATTGAAATTGAATAAAAATACAAAATAAGAAGTAGTTTGCCCTCCATCACAACTATTCACATTGCTTTTAATCCTATCATCCATGAGCACATATAAAATTGGGTTGAACAAACAATCAAAAGAAGAGGGTTGAAGTTCACATAGGAAAAGATGACATCCAAAGAGATTCAGACATCCACACATTAAGACAGGCCATTTCTGGGCATCCTTACAAAGACTCTTTCCAGTAGGAGTTGCATTGCATCACAAGGAAGTTCATCATGTTAGATATCAAATCGCCAACTTGAGGGGGAATGTTGAAGTTCTATGTTGGGGTTTACTTCTATCCTTGTATTTATTTAGGCCCATCCTTTTGTATTATCTATGTTTACATGTGTTCCATTTAAGGAATAGTCGTCAGGCTTTGATATGTGTATTGCATATATGAGTGTGTATTGCATATATGAGCCTTTCAACCCCAAATGGAAATATGTCAGCAACATGCTGCATTATTCTCTTATATAACTTCAAATTTGACAACTACCCCTTACTTTCAACTTCAATTGCCTGCCTTTATTTTCTTCCATTACTTGCCTTTTTCTGATCTATGACATTCGCAAATGCATCCATGATGCCTATTCAATATAAAAACTTTTTCGTAACTTAAGCAATTGAGCCCTAGCAAACACTGCATGCCTAAGATGTGCAGACACAGATATGCGCATGGATCCATAGAACAGTTATATATGTGACTTGGCATTTCTTTAACTCTAGGACACAAATATGGATATGAGTGTCCTCTCCAACATATCAATAACTATATATTTTTATGTAATACACATGCTTATCAGAAAATAAGTTCCAACATGTAGATACATATATACAATTTTATCCTACTCGATTTCATTTTTTTTATATTTAAATCATATTATGTGCAGAGTCCCCCTAGGAGAATCCAATAATAGCGGAGTCAACACACGAAGACATTAGCACGTTAAGCATGTAAACTTTTCTACACATTATAGCTATGTCCCCATATCCACCCGCTGTTTTGTATCAACTCCTCCTAGCAAACATTTTCAGCTACCTCTCCTCTTTCAACTCCAAGTAAGCTGTTGTTAGTGGCAATCTTGTGCTCAATAAACAATTCCTTCGGCACATCCACTTCTATTCAATTGGAATCTTGATAAAGCCTGTGATGCTCGATGTTTTAGGTATCCCATTGCATCCAAAATGCTACCGCCAAATCCTTCATGATATCATCCTTCTCTATAGACTAGAGGTAAATACACTTATATGGTTTGGCACTGCAAGATCATGCTTTAATGAAGCACCTTTTTAGTCAGTTTATATTTGTTGTTGGCTTTATGTTACTCCTTACATTAATAACATATTGTACTCCGTAAATTGTTTTCTATATGAATTCACCACACAATGTTTCGTTGGAAGATATTCCTATTGTGAGAAGGGCATGCAATGTTCAAACTTAGGTTTGCGGTTTTCTTTTACCATTTTCAATGCATCATAATTTTCTCCTATTTAGCCTATTATATTGGTTGTTTCTGTGATTCATCAGTGGTTGTGTTCTTGGTAGGTTGAAGGAACATTTCAGGATGGGACCAAGTTAGTCACAATTCATAACGCTATTGCCACTACTGATGGCAATATGGAACTGGCATTGCATGGTTCTTTTCTTCCAGGTATAGGACATAATCATCATGAACTTTTGTTTTTGTTATCTAACCAGTAGCTAATACCATTGATTATGGAACTATTTCCATGAGCTGAAGTGTTATAATTTTCTTTTGTTTGCACACTTGTAAAGTTTTCAGTTTGCTGTTTATGTTTGAAACAATGTGAAATTACGAATTTTTCTTCATTTTCTTTGGAAATTCTGGACAAGTGGTTATTCACTGGGCCTCAAGATATTTGATACAGAACTTGTAAACCTTGTCCCGTATCAAGGTCTACTGGGAACACTAAGATATGTGTTTCTTGTGCAAATTGATCTTTTACAGTAGCTCAAAGTAATTGATCACCTTGTTGGTTCTATGTCCTGAAGACCTGAAATTTGGGGAAACATAACTTTGAGAGTGACACTAGATTGTGCCTTTTCTTTGACATGAGGACATATTAGGGACTCATTTTTTTTCATGATAGATAGCATCCCTTAATTGGATCTCTTCAAGATATAAAGGGGTTGATGGTGATGATATCCCCAGGGCTCATCAAAAGGAGTGAAGCACTCTTATTGTCTTTGGATTGCAAATCCATAAACAACCTGGGTCAAGTAGTAACCCTAGACATGATTTGGACAAAGTAGCCATCATTTCAAAGAAATACTCTTACTTACCTTTATGGACAATCCTGATAGTTGTAGCCTTAATAAGTCATGGTCATTAAAAAAAGTGTCCCTGTTTTGAGAATAAAGAAAAAATAGTTTTTGTTATTTTTTCTATTTTAATTCTTGTTGGAGTTTCGATGGTGTTTTGAGGATAAGTGGTGTATAGAAACAGGCTTCCCTTTGGCTCGTGGTAGATCAAGCTGAGGTATCTGTTACTTTTAAACTAGGAATAGTGGCATACCAAGCTAGGATGCCCATCGCTCTTAAATAGCTCGCTCGAATGCTGGGGGACCATGCTGGGACACCTATCACTCTTTGGTGGGTGTCACTCTTAGATGGGTAAAATTGCTAAAATATCAAGAGCTTAAATGGGGCATAACTTATTTTCCGCATAGAACTACAGAGAGAGTTGCAAAGAAGAGAGAAATCCCTTTTTATGATATTCATGCTCATGCATCAAGAAAACCTCATTTATAAATCTTTGAAGATAACATATGCCAGTTGCCACATAAGGGGATATGGAATGTCACACATCTAGAAGATTTTAGCAGGCAAACAATAATGATGTAAAACTGTATTCTATAGAGAAAAGTAACTGACAACGAGACACCCTCCACTTCAAGATTATTTCTAATGACAGAAAATTCCTTGGTCCTTGGTCCTGCTGAATCCTCTGAATTGGGAAGCACTTTTGGAATACCTTTTCACAAAACTATGGAGCTGAAAACATCGGCTAGGAAAGGATTTGTAGCCAGCCCAATAGTTAGGATAAGGCTTGGATGATGATGATGATGAAGTTTAACTTTTCAACATGGGCATAATCTATCCTTACGACATGTAAGTGAAATGGAGCATACTGACTCAATAGGAGTAGGTACATTTGCCAGCTGGGAGGCACAAACAGGACTTTTCCTAATGGCTGCAATGTAATGCACCTTATCCTAGCTAGGGTTCATAGAGGTGGTTGGTCATTCTTCTATCTCATTTGGAAACATTACATCTTCAAGGAGTGTGACATTCTTCACAGATACACTTATCCCCTCTTTTGTTAGATGCCTGTGTATAGGAGTGGAGGTCAGACTTTCTTTAAGCACTCTACTTCACTAAGGGGTGGTGGGTTCCACCTGTTTATAGAAATGCATGTTAAGTGAAATAGAGAAGCTTGACTATTTCATGTTGATAATGGAAGCTTAATGGAATGCTACATTAACTTATGAAGAAGGTGAGCATGGCCTTGATTTTTGAGGATTTCTTTCATGCACAACAATCATGAGGGGCATCATAGCCTTTGTATTCAAATTTGTGTGTAGTTCATTCCTTGAAAGTAATGAAGCAAAAGCTTCACCTTTATATTAGCTTGCTTCCTAAAATGTTAGTTCGGGGAATCAGTCTTCTATATAATTGTCAAAAACTTAAAAAATAAGTAAATGATTGTGCTTATATGTCCATATAGGACCTTAGTACCCTTTTTTACCCTTTCTAGTGTAAATATTCTTTCTTGGAAGGGAGCCATGCACCAAATATCTATAATAACTTATGTATTCCCTTTTTAAATTGAGTGTTGCTCCAAAATATGTTTCTTGATTATTTTTGTTTTGGTTATAAGGCAGTAATCGAAAACTTAGATGAGTCCACCCGGACTCGGCCAAGTTACTTGGGTAAAACTTGTGGTAATTAAAAGAATAAGAATTATGTTAATTTATGAAATCAATGTATAAATATTTTATATGTAATTTGGATGTTTTTCTGATGATGATTTATGAGATTTTTCTTGTCATATGCCCAATTTTTAGATATTTGTCTTTTTTTTTTTCTTTTTCGGATTTCTCTATATCATCTCCAGCTATAAATCAATTTTCTCATAATCACTGTTTATCTTTTTTTCTATCTTAATTGGACTTTTATTTTTTTTAGTTTAGTTTGATTTTTACTATTTTTATTTTATTTTAAATGTTTGGAACTTTTTTCTTTAAATTTTTTAGGCATTTTTTGCCCCGTTTACTACTTGGTTGAGTCCACTCGGATTCGCCTGAGTTACTTGGCTTGGTCAGGGCTCGAGTCTCATGCCCGAGCCGAGTTTATAAATATTATATGAAGTCATTGATAGTTATTAATATCAAAGGTTTTGCGCTCTATGTGATAGGGATACTCAACATTCACTGTTATTGTCCTCTGTGCCAGTCATTGTTGGTTCTTAGATTAACTACGAGGAAACAAGGTATTGAACATTTTCCAGTCAATTGCTGCTATTCCTTGGTGATATGTTATAAGCATAGACGTGCGAAGGAATCATAATGTCAATTAGCTCTTGAAGCACTTTTTATCATATTGAGTGAATCTTAGCTGCAATACTATTTTTGCTTTAATTTCTTAAGAAAATACCTGAACCAATTTATTTGGGACTGTTCATTTGAAATTCTTAATATTAAAAAAATATGTACTATGTAATCCTTTTTTTCTTTTTTTCCTTTTTTCACTTCAAAGTTCGGGAATTATCGTAAACATCTCTACTAGTGGTTCATTGGGATGGACATGGTCCTGTTTCTCATTGGGCAGGTTAGCTGGTATCTCACCACAACCTCAGGGTTGCAACTGTCTTCCAGTTGGGCTATATGCTTCATCTGACATAGTGTAATACTTCAACTGCAAGAATAAACTTTGTAATCCTCGTTAAAGTTATAAAACATATTTTCCTAAGGATGTTTCCTAGTAAATTTCCAAAGAATTCCTAGCTTGGATGAACTGGCAAGGATTTGAAATTCTGTGGATGAGATATATGTTTCATTGATGGCATTGAAATTTCTAATAATTGGTCTATCTCTTGGAAGTTTTGTTGGATGATCTGAAGTTCTCTTTTGAAGAAACTTGAAATTGTTTTTCCTTCTAAAGTTTCTTGATAATGTTTTCGCATATGTCCTATGTTATAGTTCCTGCTGCAAATATGTTTGTGGAGACCCATGAGCATGACATTCCGGGAGAATTAATTGTTGGGGAAGGAGATATTATCTTGAACACTGGAAGGCATGCTCTTGTTCTCGAAGTAACTAACAAAGCAGACAGGCCTATCCAGGTTCAAGTTCTTGACACATATATGTTTGCTAATTTCCTTTGTTCTTATGCCATTGCTTATTTTTGTATATTTTGTTTTATTGAATTTTTTCTATCAGGTTTTGAATTTTAGGTAAATCTTAGTTAGAAGGTCGAGTTTTGGGGTTTTATTGGGGTGACTGGCATACCAATCATTGGTGACCACTATCAGCTGGCTCAATACCATAATTTTCCAGTTCTTGTTGCTCCATGTGAAACTGTCATCAGATAAATACTGCTTCAATATTTTAATTTATGGACTATCATTTGAAATATGAAACTTCTCAGTTCCCTAAAATGTTGCATACTAATCATGTGGTAATATTTTTTGTTGGGACACAAAATTCATGTCGATGCTAATTGGGCTTTGTGGATGCTCTTGATGAACTTTGGATGGCCTTCGAATTTTAGCCTTCCTAAGATGAATAAATAAAGCTGATATTTTGATGCTTTATTTTTCAATGTATTCAAGAACCTTATATACTTACGCCCCATTTTATTAATTGATTCAATTCCCTGGTTCATCAGATGCATTTAATACGTGATCACTTTTGTCTCTGTTCAGGTTGGAAGCCACTATCACTTTATTGAGGCCAATCCTTACTTGGTTTTTGATAGGAAAAGGTCTTATGGCATGCGGCTCAATATACTAGCAGGAACCGCAGTTCGATTTGAGGTAAAATGACCTTCAAAATTTGAACTCGTCGATCTTGTAGATTGACATGGCATGTGTATTTGTTTGGTTGATGTTAACAGAACATTCATTCTTTGAGCTCTTTCTATAAATGTATAGAGTTTTCTCTGCAATTACTGCATGCATTGCCTTTCTTATCGTGTTTCATTCATGTCTCATATGGAAGCTGAAAGTTGCATATGACTTTTATTTTATTTCTGCTTTGGCTTCTTACTTCTAGCAACCCATTTGTTGGTGTTTTTCCTGATGAATGAGGTGCAAACAAAAATATGTAAATATGAATAAAAGTGGGGAAATAAGAAATTCTTTCATTGTTTGTTAGGAGTTTTGTTGCCTGTTATGGTTCGGAGGCATTGACTTGAGGCAACAACAACCATTAGTTACTGCAAGATATTTGCAGGACCTGGAGGCTAGCAGGGCCCTTACCCTCAAATTTTTTAATTTGCTTCAAAGTCAAAGCCGTTATTGTTTGTCAAGAGTGGCAATGGGTCAGGCAGCCCAGCTAAGTCTCCGCTGTCCAGCATATGTGGCCGATTGGGCTCTTGCCCAGCCAGGCACATCATGGCCTGGCTGGGCATTTTGAACAGGTTGGACTGGGCCCATAACAGGGTTTTGGCCTGCAGGGCCTGGCTGGGTTCGAGACCCACCCTTTTCTGCCCCTAGTGTTTGTGATAGTAGGCAGCTTGCTGCTCATGTACCTGTAGCAAGCATGGAATCACCTTAGACATGAACTCCCCTGATTTGCTGAGTCGAAGTCAGTTTGCGACTAATCTTGAGTGTTTGTGACATTATTGGTTCATTGAGATCTTTCAGTGAATGCATAGCAAAGAATAGAGTTCTATGTCACCAACCCTTTGATAATACTGGAAAAGTAAAAATAACGTTAGAAGCAGACACACGGCCCAAATCTTTTTGGAGAAGGTGACACAAGGATGCCCTCAAGAATTGGCTTGTTTTTGAAGGAAACTCATTAATGAAATTGGGAGGCTCTAGCCCCCCACCCATTTTAGAGGCATGTATTCAATTTTTTAATCTAAACAAAAGGAAGGGATCACGACTCTCTCTCTCTCTCTCTCTCTCTCACACACACACACACACACACACACACACACACGCATTCTCACATGTGCTCGTGCTCTCTCCTTATTTTATAACTTGGCTCAATATTTGTCTCTCTTGTGGGGGTCGTTTTGCATCATGCTATAGGTAGGTAATTATCATGAAATGTGAAGACCCCAATAAAATAATAAAATGAGAAAGATTTATAACTAAAAAGCATAGGACTGATAATCTCTAGTCATTTGTTTCTATCTCATCCTTAAATTTTATTCTATTTAAATTTGAATATAGAAAATGCATAAAAAAGAGAGAAAACGGAAATTTTATTGTTTGCGGCCTGCCATTTGATTTAAAGCTAAACAAAGGAATTTCATGACTTGAAAAGTTCTTCGGCTGAGATGAAGAACACTGGACCAAATATGAAATAAATGTGACAATCTGGAGAAAATGTAGTTTTCTAATGCATATATGAATGAAGTTGCTTAGAAGATCCAGGGAAAAGGATGACATAAGATGGAGGGTAAAAAGTGAAAGAAGAGAGATAGTGGCTAATTTTTAAATATTGTTGTTTTATTATTAACAAATGTATGAAGTAATTATATGAAAATTGTTAGGTTCACTATGTGTTTCAACTGTTCTGTATTTTTTTGATAATGAATCCTATATTCAATGGAATTACCCCCGAATCTTGTGGAAAAAACACTACATTTCATTGTTATTTTCATGTTGAAAGTGTTGTTCGAATATTACATGAAATTGAATTCACTTGGAATAAAGGAACTGTGGTTCCATAGTTATTGCTTAAAAGGAAGGAGAACAGTTAAAGGGCAGGGATGCATTCTCTAGAGGTGGGATCCCAAGCTTGATCAACAAGTCTGCAGGTCGAGAGGGGCACCAATCGAAATGGACTTTCCATTCAAGTATGGGTTTTTTCATGATGAATGCTGGTCCTTGCTCTCTTGTGCACCCCAAGAACTCAAACATGCATTTTTAATCATAACTTCAATGGTTAAGTGCTCATAACTACATATCTGACTTTCAAAGTTCATCTAATATGCGCTATTGATGTGTGGAGTATGCATTAAATTTTTAATTTCTTGATGCAGCATTACCATCTTCGTGCACTAGAAGTATTCTGCTGGTTTCGTGTTGTTTGTTATGTATGTCTGCATTCCTTACCTGGATCCTTTTCCTTTTCTGGAGTTAGCCTGGGGAGAAGAAGTCTGTCACACTTGTTAGCATTGGAGGACAGAAAGTAATAAAGGGTGGGAACGGCATGGTTGATGGTCCTGTTGAAAATTCCAGACTTCCAAAGATAATGGAAGCTTTGCATTCGAAATGTTTTGGCCATGGAAAAGAGGATAATGTCATGTAAGTATAGATCTTGATATTTTTGACATCTTTGAGTGAGGACCATCCTCTTGGCCTGTATCATAGCAATCAAAGTGCTATCACATTATGCATCTTATGCTGATCAATTAGATCATCAATTAAAAGTTATTTAACCGATTTGTGATTCAGGGTTGGTGTTACATCAGAAGATCCGCAACTCACAGTTAAGGTTTCTCGTGAGGCTTATGCTGACATTTATGGACCTACAACTGGTGACAAGATCAGGCTTGGTGATACTAACTTGTATGCAGAAGTGGAGAGAGACTTCACTGTTTATGGAGATGAGTGTAAGTTTGGGGGTGGCAAAGTCCTACGTGATGGGATGGGACAAGCAACTGGTTACCCGTCATCCGTTTGCTTGGATACTGTTATCACAAATGCCTTGATCATTGACTATATGGGGATCTACAAGGCAGATATAGGCATTAAAGGGGAGTTCATCAGCTCCATTGGTAAGGCGGGGAATCCAGATGTAATGGACGGTGTGCACAAGGATATGATAGTTGGTGTAATTTTCTTCCCTTTCTTTGTTGATCATGATGTATTATTTTATGTGTTGATATTGCACCATTGTTTAATATTGTTTTTCTGTTTTACTATTGTGCCTCTCCGTGTATTAAAATGCAGGTGAATACCGAGGTTATTGCAGGGGAAGGAATGATTGTAACTGCTGGAGGAATTGACTGTCATGTACACTTCATCTGTCCTCAACTCGCAAATGAAGCAATCTCAAGTGGTAAATTTCTATTTCCCTCACATTGCAGTTTATAATATATGCTTCAAGCATATTCTGGAACTTGAGTTTATAAGCAATTTGTTTATGTGAATACTGGAACTTGAGTTTACAAGCAATTTTTTTATGTGAATAAAGATTTACGTATAGCAGCCTATATACATGTGCATCCTTTACAAAATGTACTGAGACAAGATCCCTGAGGTAGAGAGACATTCACCCTGCTAACCATTAATACAGACTGGCTGACACCCTCTCTTGCTAATGAATTGGAGAGTTTAGAAGAATTTACCATTCTGCATGATATGATTGTAAGCAATCCATCTATATACCATCTTTATAGCTTATTGAGTAATTCATAGTTTTTAAAATGGCTGCATTTACTGCATATATAATAGGATGCTTCTTATTTTCAATTTTTTTTTTAAGCTAGTAGTTGTCTGTTTGATGTTATGAAGTCATGTCCTTGTCTGGATATTTAAAGTGCACACATTTTTATGATGTCTAAATATAGATATGCTTATGGGATTGAGGTATGGGAACCATCCATGCCGTTTGGCATTTTCCAAATTCACGACATACAAATATGAGTATCCTATCCAGCACATTAGTGTACATCATCTTGAAAGAAATGGTTATGTAGAATTCGAAGGTATAAAAATATCAAAAAAGAAAATCTCTTCTTCTTTTTAATAACTGGAATTTCTACTTACAATTGCCACAATACAATGTAGAAAAAAAGTAAATCTAGTTTTAATTCTTACTGCCAAATGAAACTTTTATTTAAAAAAATTCAAATTCATATTTACAATATGAATTCAAATACAATTAGGTATTCTAATCTAAGTGGGAGTCCTAGTTCAAATAGGAATCGTGATCCAAAAAGGACTCCAATACAATTAGGACTTTTAAGACAATCATCATCATTTGAGCCTTATCCCAACTATTTGGGCTTGCTACACGAATCCTATTCCACCTAAGTTCAGGATTCATGATAAGATGCGAGAAAGTTTTACGCTAGCCGATCTACATAACAGAACCCTCATCTTTTATCTGGGCTTGGAACCGCATAACTAGCTCGGGACCAACCATGGTGGAGCCTAAAACAAATATGAATAAAACAAACCGATAAACAAAAACTGAGAAGATTTACTGAACCTTTGCCTAGGGTACCTCTTTAGGACATAACACACCCCAAACCCAATATACAAACCAATGGGACACTTTGATCCTTGGTCTTGCTAGATCCTCTGAATTGGGAAGCACCTCTGGAATACCTTTATAGTGGATTATGCACTCTAGTGAGAGTGTGTGTTGACTAACCAATGGTTCTCTATGACCCAGATTATATCTGAAACTCTACCCTATGCAAGTGGCACTACTGGGAAGGGTTTGCATTGAGTCACCCCTTCTTGAGGTTGGAGAGATGCTTAGGAATAATGTTTGTAGGCTAGGAGAATTGTGTAGTCTCTTGTGTGCAGTTGTAGGCCTTTGAAAGCAATGACCACATCCTCGAAAAAACTTTTGCACGTCATGTACACATGACAACCACATTACCAAGAAGCAGTCCGATAGTGGGTGTTAGGTTTTGTGGCTTTTAAAGGCCTCGAAAGCTTGTAAATATGATATTTTATAGTAAAATATATAATTTAGTGGGAGTGTGTGTGTTGATTGACTAAGGGTTGGGAGGTTTATGGCCTTGGTCATATCCAAAACCTTTAGTCCTGGGCATGTGGCACTACTGAGAAGGGTTTATAGTGGGTCATCCCTTGTTGAGGTTGAAGAGGTGCCCGTGGATGATGTTTGTAGGTCAGGAGAACTGTATGATCTTTTGTATGTGGTTATAGGCTTGTGAGAGCAAGGGCCAAAGCCTCAACAAACTTCTGCACGACATGTACATATGACAGCCTCATTATTGTGAAGCAGTCCTACAGAGGGATACATGTACATATGCATAGAGAGAGCCCCCTTTGCACACTGTGGTGACAAGTGTTAGACTTGCTCTTAAAGCGGGAATTGAAATCTACATTCTGGGATCATGGTCCCATTGTTTTATTGTCTAACTTTGATAAGTCAATCATGAGCTCCTAAAATGAGACTCTGGATCATAGGTCTTTGTTGGATTGGATAAAAAAATACCAGTTCATCATGGTTTCTTGGACGAGTGAAGTGCCCTTATTGTTGCTAATTTTGACCTGTTGGTATCAGTTCAATCCTAGTATATTTATTTTCGTATTACAAATATTTTTACGATTTTTAAATATTTCTTTAGAATTTTAAAATATTATTTCTTCTATAATTTTCATTAAAAAGGTATTTTTGAAAAATTTTAGAATTTGATAAGGCACATGTGGGGACAAAGGATCCAGCCCCCACATTTGTATGCTACCTATGCGGGGCCGACATTACCCCCTAGGGAGGCACACGACTTTTTTTGTTAACAAAAAAGTGGGCACGCCACTTATTCAAGAGAAAGGGGGTACGCTCCACTTTCTTAATATTTGATTTTAAATTAGATAGGAAACTTTTTAATAATATTTGGTTTCTTATTCTCGTGGGAATTTTAAAATATAAATTATCGTAGATTTCCTATAGATTATAGGAGATCTAGATAATGATAACACTTGTTATACTTTAAAATTTAACTAGGAGTTGGTTATGGGTCAAAATCTAAGGAGATAAGGTTTCGATCTTTTCCACCCAAATTCATGATGGCTTGTTTGTGGGATGGAAGGCTCTGATTAAATCTCTCACCTCACAGATTTCCTAAATCATCCTAAAAGGTCTAGTTGGAAATTAGACCATGCACACCTAAGGAAATCTTGAATAGGTTCTATTTCTTTGGCAGTAAAATAAAGATTCTCGCTGTTATCTAGGGCATTATTTTGATTCACAGCTGTATTTAGTGGCCTTTGTAAGTGGAGTTTAAGTATATTGAATAAAAGAAAAATAATATTTTGTAATGTAATATACCTTGAGGTCCACATAGTCACTCCTTTCACTGGTATCAGAGCCTATATATTTTACTGCCATTTTTTAGGGGTATTTTTTTTTTTATTTGAGTCTAGAAACATGACATCAAAAAGTTTCTTAGCTGAATTTATTAAGTCTGAAAGATTTGACGGGAAGAACTAGGCGAGTTGGAAGAGAAAAATAGGTTATGTCCTCTTTGAAGAAGGATTTAGCCAAATACTTACTGATGACCCCCCACATGTCCTAAGAGGAAATACTTATGAAAGGCAGCTTGTAAGAGATGCTCATGCTCAGTAGGAGCACAAAAACATTCTAGCAATGCATGTACTATTTATAGCTATGGATGGCACCCATGATTTCGAGTATGAGCACCTGAAGACTGCAAAGAAGATTCATGAATGACTTGAGACCGATTATGCCTCACCTTCTCTCACTAGGAAGACAATGGCTATGAAACAATATTCAGATTTGAAGATGAAGGAAGGAAGCAAGTTAATTGAGCATATACAACAGTTCAGAGCTTTAGTTCGTGAACTCGAGGCTGTACAAGCTAAGTCAAATGAAAACATGCAAATCTGCCAATTGCTGAATTCTATACCGAGCTCATGGGAAAGCGTCATTTCAGGCCTTACCGCAAGGGAGAGCATGCTGAAGTTGGGCGAGATCATCACCAAAATTAAAGCCGAAGAAGAAAGGAGTTTGTCTTGCGATACTTTAGCCTTGAATGACTCTATAATTCTGGTAAACCTTAAATTAAACTCTGGTTCACTCAAGAAGAAGAAATATAATGGAAAGAATAAGAATAAAACCAATGTGAATCAAAAGGGGAATAATGGGTCTACGAAGAAGGATTTTAAGAATACCCGGTTATATAATTTCAAGAAATTTGGGCATAAGCAAAGTATTGTAAAGCACCCAAGAATATGAATCCCACGGGCAATAGGGAACATGCTTGTGTGGTCCTTGAGACCTTGCCATCTGACCCTAAAATGGGGTCATGGTGGTTTTACTCAGGGTCCACTGCCCATGTGTTGAACACCAACGATGTTTCAAGCATGTTGCCCATGGGGATCAGTATATCTATATTGGTGGGAATCAAAAGATTGAAATTCTGGGTATTGCAGATTTCGTCCTTCAATTTGAGAATAGAAAAAGCATGGTCTTAAAGCAAACTATTTATGCTCCTAAGATTAGGAAGAGTTTGGTTTCGGTCGCTAAATTGGCTAACGCAGGCTACTAAACCATTTTTACTGGTAATAAGGTGGAAGTGAAATATGGAAATGAATTAGTCATGGATGCTCATCTTGTAGATGGTTTCTTTACAGTTGCAATAAAGAATTCCATTTCTTATGTCTCGTGTTATAATAATAACAATGATGATGCGTATATATGGCACATGAGACTAGGGCACATAAATCCTAAAAGGATGGAGAGGTTAAAGAGAGGGATTACTAAAGAATTTAAAGGCAGACTTAACCAGAGTCTGTCAATCATATGTCCAAGGAAATCTGGTTAAAAAATCCTTTGTGAAAATTCAAAGAGCTATTGGAATATTAGAAGTTGTTCATAGTGATATTTGTGGGCCTATAAATGTGGAGGTACTTTGACAAAAGGATTGGTGGAGAATTTTTTTGCCAAACTTGTAATGGGATGGGTTTGAGAGAAATTGAGAGGGAATGATTGTATGGCGTTCAAAGGCCAAGTAGTTGATGTTGGGTTTTGTGGCTTTTAAAGGCCTAAAGAGCTTGTAAACATGATATGTTAAAGTGGAATATGCACTTTAGTAGGAGTGTGTGTGTTGACTGACCAAGGATTGAGCGTTTTATGGCTCTGGTCATGTCCAACAGAGGGACACATATATATGTGCATAGACAAAGCTCCCTTTATACTGTAGTGGCAAGTGCTAGACTTGCTCTTAAAGGAAGAACTGAAATCCACATTTTAGGATCATGGTCCCACCATTTTATTATCCAACTTTGACAAGCCAATGATGAGCTCTTGAAATGAGACTGTGGGTCATGGGTCTTTGTTGGGTTGGATGAGAAAACAGTAGCAGCTCATGGTTTCTTGGGCTAGTGGAGTGCCCTTATTGTTGCTAATTTTAACTCATTGGTATCAGACCACTCTTAATATATTCGTATTAAAAATGTTTTTATGATTTTTAAATATTTTTTTAGAATTTTAAAATATTATTTCTGTTGTAACACTTATTAGAAGGGTATTTCTAAAATTTTCAGAAATTGATAAGACACATGTGGGGACAAAGGATCCAGCCCCCACATGTGTGCCACCCATGTGGGACCCACATTACCCCTAGGGAGGCACGCCACCCTTTTTTAACAAAAAAAATAGGGCATGACACGTTTTAAGGAAAAGTGGGCTCTCCACTTATTCAGGAGAAAGGGGGCACACCCCACTTTCTTAATATTTGATTTTAAATTAGATAAGAAATCTTTGAATAGGATTTGATTTCCTATTCTAGTAGGAATTTTAAAATATAGATTATCCTTGATTTCCTAAAGATTATGGGAAACCTAGATAATAATATGATTGATTATATTTTAAAATTTAAATAGGAGTTGGTTATGGGTCAAAATCTAAGGGGATAAAGCTTCTATCTTTCCACACAAAATTATGATGGCAAATTTGTGGGATAGATGACTCTAATTAAGTCTCTCTCACCCCACATATTTCTTAAATCATCCTAAAAGGTCTAGCAGGAAATTAGATAATGCATACCTAAGAAAATCCTATTGAAATTGGGAGATAGATTTCGTTCTATTGAAAGGCCTAGTTTGAACCACAGTTGTTGGGTACGGGAACGGGAACGGTTTCACGATCAGGGGTGGGATCGGTGGATATTAGGGATCGATGTCCGTACAACCTCAAAGATTGGGATCGAGCTCCATGTGTGATGGGGATCGATCTCCTTTGTTACATAAGATCGATAATTATTATATAAAGGTGCGAGATCCTATACATAAGAAGCGAAGTTCCCAACATTTTTTTGAGTTTCTTAACTCAGGGAGCGCATTACTAAAAGTGATTCAAAATATTATGGAGCGAGGAATAACTTTTATAGGAGCGAGTTCCATTTTCTTAGAACATAAGTTCCTTGTGTAAGTAATAAGGATCCATGGCTTTAAATGTAGCTCCCGGTATTATTAACCAATAACATGTAGGCTTAGTCTTTTTATGAAATAGATAGGAACTTTAAAACAATCCCATATTGGTGGGATATGGATGCCATATATGGCGATGCTTGTGTTCCGTTATTTTGGAATCTAGATCCAATGCACTCTGGAGCGCGAGCCATAAGACTAGGGAACTAGATCCTGTAATGTTCAGGAACGTGAAATTAAATTGTAAGGAACTCGTTCCCTTATAAGATGGCGCAAGATCCCGAAAGCACTAAATTGAGTTTCAGACGAGATCCGCTCTGGGATCAAGAGAACCGAGGTTCTGCAAGGGATCGCCAAGCAAGGGAGGAGATCTCGGTAACTATGGTTTGAACCTCTTTCAAATATACAACTAGTTTCTCTTTCAATCATCTATTATTCTCTTTTCTTCACGCCACTTTTTCCTCTCTCTCAAAAAGTTTTGAAGTCATGTGCCTCCCCTCTCTTTGCCCCATAGGGAGGCACGCCACCCCCTCTCCTCTATATTTTTATCACACCACCCAAAAGAAAAATAGAGGTGATGTTATAGTGAAATACTAGAGCCAGGATTTGTTGTATTTTGAAGAAAAGAAGGGAGAAGCCCAACCTAGAGAGAGATTAACTGACAAGCTTAGCCCTAGTTTGTTCCCGTAGGGTTTCTATAGGCCCTAGTTGATTTTTGGGCTCTTTAGAACCCTAGTAAAAGAGGTATCGCAAGTAAAACTTCTCATCTCAAAATTACCAACAACACTTGAAAGGAGTAAAAGTGTGCCACCGGTCAGGGAATCGAGTGTGGGGTGTAGTAAGACCTATGAGGGTAACTTCAAACATCTTCCAGTAAGTATTCCAATAGTTTTAATTAATTTTTAAAATTAATTTTTATTTTTTGTGAGTTTTTAGGAACTTGTATTGTATTAAAAATTATAGCGCAAGTTTTTTTAAAGCTCCTGGATAGTTTCTATTTCTTTTGGCAGTAAAAATAAAAATCTTAGGTTGTATCGATGGCATTATTTTTATTTACAATAATATTTTGTGGCCTTTGTAAATGGAATTCAGTTATATTGAATAAAAGTAAAATAAATTTTTTAAATTTAATACTTTGAGTTCCACATAGCCACTCTTTTCAGAGGGACACGTATACATGTGCATGGAGAGAGCCCTTTTGCACTATAGTGACAAGTGCTAGACTTGCTATTAAAGGGGAGAAACTAAAATTCACATAATGGGATCACAGTTCCACTATTTATTGGACCAACTTTGACAAGCCAAGCGTGAGCCCTTGCATAAGATTGTGGGTCATGGGTTTGTTGGGTTTGTCTGGGAAGACAATTGTGGATCATGTTCACTGGGTTTGACGGAGTGCCCTTTATAGTTGCTTATTTTGTGTCATTGGTACCAATCCACTTCTAAATATTCTATTTTTGATATTGGAAATATTTCTGTGAATTTTAGAAATATTTTAGAATTTTAAAAATTTATTTTTACTGTAAAATATTTTGAAAAGTGACCCATAGGGGTGGTAGGCCCCACTCCTTTAATTATTTGGTCTTTAATTGATTGAAAAATTTGAGTTAAATAGTCTTTTAAAATAAAATATTTGTTTTCTAGTATTGTGGGAGTTTGTTTGACTAAACAAACGTTATCTTTTGATTTTCTATGAATTTTTGAAGAAGATAATAGGAAGTTTTGGATTGGATATAATCCTATTTAACTAAGAAGTTGGACTTGGGTCAAATTATAAGGGGATAAGGTTCCTAATAATCTTCTAAAATCCTGATGGCTAATTTATGGGATGGATGACTTAGAGTTGTTCGCCTTCACCTCATAGATTTCCTAAGTTTGCATTGGTCAAGCTGATTCATTAAGATAGGCAGACATGGAGAAGGAATTCTAATCCAAATGGGAGAAGGAATTCTTTCTATTCAAACACCTTTGAGCCTCTCTCTTTCTCTCTCTCAACACCCATATTTTCCTCTCATCCATGCACCAAGTCTCTCTCATTAAAATTTGTTATTTTCTCTCCTCCCTTCCCTAAAAGGCCATGCAACCCAAAATTTGATAAGACAAGGGTGACATATTGAAATTCTAATTAGGGTCTAGCTGTTTGGAGAAGAAAAAGGGGTACGCCCAGCCATAGGAGGATCTATACCTTCAAGCACAGCCTTAATTGGTTCCTAAGGGTTCGTACAAGCCCTAGTTAGGTTTCCATGATCAATAAAACCCTAGAGTAAAAGAGATTGCCTATAAAAGCTTCCCATCTCTGAAATTCCAGAAAGATCAAAGGGGACAAAAGTACGCCATTGGTCAGGTTTATCAGGTGTGAGGTGTATCAAGTCCTGTGGGGTAACCTTAGGCATGATCAAGTAAGTCTTCTTGGCTGTTTTTATTTATTTTTCAGTCATATTAGCGCACTTTCTGTGATTTTTCAGGAACTTATATTGTACTTAAATTCACAGTAGCAGACTTGATATTTAGGGTTTTATTTTTTATTTGCAGCAGTGTATTGTGGCTCATATAAGTGGAATTAAGGTATATTAATAAAAATTAAAAAGAAAATTTTTGAATTTATTACCTTGAATTCCACCACATAGCCACACCTTTCCACTACCACCACCACCACCCACAGTCACTGCTACTGCTACCAATTTTAATGCCAACATGTTTATTATATATTTCAATTTCAAATTTTAGCTATTTAATTTATTTTTAAAATTTTTTTCCCCTAAATGAGATCTTAGCACCTACCAAGATGTTCCTTGCGTCCAGGTGGTGTGTTCTGCACCCTGCCCATACGTATCTTTGGGTTCTTGGCATTGTAGTAAAATCATAACTTGATCTCTGTTGCGTATCAAGTTGCTCATAATCTAAAATGGAGCTGCTGGCTGATAACTGAGTGGTAGCTTCACCTTGCCTTCATTTGTTTACAATGCCATGTTGACTAGCATAAGCTTTAGATTGTACATAAGTACATGGAATGACTTAGCTTTCTTGTTGGAAGGTCTCACAACACTAATTGGAGGTGGAACGGGGCCAGCACATGGCACAACAGCAACTACTTGTACACCTGCACCATCACAAATGCAATTGATGCTGCAGTCAACTGATGACATACCACTTAACTTTGGCTTCACTGGGAAGGTATTTCCCTTCTTGTTCCTCAGTTATCCACTTAATAGTTGTGCCTCTTCTATTCTTTTTGGGAATCTCAAGACTCAAGATTAGTATGAGGGCCTTATCTTTTCCTTGTGAAACTGGGAATCAATATGCTTCGTCATGTGGCTCCATTTGGCCCGGGGGATATAGCTCAGTTGGTAGAGCTCCACTCTTGCAATTGGGTTGTTGCGATTATGGGTTGGATGTCTAATTGTCCAGGCGGTAATGATAGTATCTTGTACCTGAACCAGTGGCTCACTTTTTTCTAAGTAATGGGGAAGAGGACCGAAACATGCCACTGAAAGACTCTACTGAGACAAAGAGGGCTGTCAAGAACGTAGAGGAGGTAGGATGGGCAGTTGGTCAGATCTAGTATGGATCGTACATGGACGATAGTTGGAGTCGACGGCTCTCCTAGGGTTACCTCATCTGGGATCCCTGGGGAAGAGGATCAAGTTGGCCCTTGCGAACAGCTTGATGCACTATCTCCCTTCAACCCTTTGAGCGAAATGTGGCAAAAGGAAGAAAAATCCATGGGCCGACCCCATCGTCTCCACCCCGTAGGAACTATCAGATCAGCCCAAGGACGCCTTCGGCATCCAGGGGTCACAGACCGACCATATGTTTGGTGGATTTCTCTCTGCTTATTTATAATGACCTCGATTTCTTTGGGATTCATGGAACTGATGTAATGAGTAATACTTTCAACTGGCTTAAGTCAATATTGTCATATGATTAACACATTTTGTTGTGCAATCTGCATTTTTTCATCTTTCTAGTATTTTAGACATCATTGTGAAAGGTTCTCATGCACTCTTTGCGAGCACACATGGTTGGCCGTGGCTTGCAGGCCTCATGTATTATGTACTTTTGTGGGAACAAAAAAATATTTATGGGAATAATGTGTCTGATTTATCATTTGTTTTGATTATAGCTGTTGTAATGATTGGACGTCTTTTTAATGATTTTCATTTTATCCATTTTGTATTGTAACTATCATCTGCTCTGCTTCATTTGTGATGCATTTATTCGTCTCAATGGCAATTGCTTTCTAAGGGAGACGATCCTCAGATCATGTGTTGCTCAGTCTGTCTGCATAGAAGCTCGTTCTTTCAGTTACTGATTTTCATAAGATTCAGGGAAACAGCTCCAAACCTGAGGGTCTATGTGAAATTATTAAGGCTGGAGCAATGGGACTGAAGCTGCATGAGGACTGGGGAACAACCCCAGCTGCAATTGATAACTGCTTAGCTGTTGCTGACGAATATGATATCCAGGTACTACATTTAGTTAAATTCTTAAATTTGTAATGATGATTTGTATCTTAAACTTGCATGTTCTGTGAGCTATGCCAAGGTCAATATTCATACGGACACCTTGAATGAATCTGGATGCGTGGAACATTCCATTGGTGCGTTCAAAGGGAGGGCAATCCATGCATATCACAGGTGAAACATGTTGGTTTCTTATATGAGCTCTAATGATTATAGCCTGTATTGATATAAAAGCTTTTTACTTGGCCCCTTATGGCCATAATATTTTTTCATTGTTTGGCTTGATGTTTTCTATGCATCACTGCAGAAGTTTGTTCGAACTACAAAAAAATGATTGGAAGTAGTACAATGTTTTGTGTTCTCTGAGCTTCGTAAGCCCCACTATCTTTTGCACATGTCCCAGGTCATAATTGTAATAAGAACGTTTCTCAGTTTATAAAATTTTAAATCTAAATAAAATGTTCCCATAGTTGTCTGATCTTTGTTTCTAAATTTGATACCCAATGATTCATATGAAGTTGGTGAGCTCTTATTCTTCGTCATTGTCCCAAAGTATACCATGTCTTAAGAAGCTTATATACAATTCTTCAATTGCTTTCCTGCCATAAGGGCACGGTTGTTTTTTTATCACTAAATAATATTATGGACTTGGTTGATTTTTTAGATTTCTGAAATTGCATTGAATGGTATTACCACTTTTATTTGGTTTCGTGGAAGGACTGCAACCCACATAGAGATAAATCCTGTTTGCTTTTATTTTGGTACCATGATATTATCCCATAGCTTATAAGAAACATTTCCTTTTGCATTGTCCCCTTTGAAGGGCTACTGAAAGTCAATATGGCATTTATTACTTCCTAAATGTATTGTATTTAACAGCGAAGGTGCTGGGGGAGGTCATGCTCCAGATATTATCAAAGTCTGTGGCCTGGCCAATGTGTTGCCTTCATCTACAAACCCAACTAGACCTTTTACAACAAACACCATTGATGAGCACCTCGACATGCTGGTGAATATCAAGTGTTTCCATTTATTTCCCTCTTTGGTATTTCACTGAAATTATGTTTTTTCAAGTTCCTCTTGCTTCAATAGGTTTTACATGGAGTTTCTTCTTTTTTGAATCTATTTAGATGGTCTGTCATCACTTGGATAAAAACATTCAAGAAGATGTGGCATTTGCTGAATCTCGAATACGAGCAGAAACCATTGCTGCCGAAGATATTTTGCATGATATGGGAGCAATCAGCATTATATCTTCTGATTCACAGGCTATGGGACGTATAGCAGAGGTTTGGATTGGCTTATGATTCTCTTCATTCATTTTGTATGCAACAAGTAATTTCATAGACATGAGTAGATCAACCGTTGTTTATTACCAAATGTTGCATCATCCTTAATTTTGGCAAACCACAGGTGTACGGTACATCTTACCCCTGTGCTTCTGTTAGTATATATGGCATATTTTGTTGTTTCTTTTTATCAACCTTACACTTGTTTGCTGGTTAAGAGTCATATTTAAATTAGGATTCCTACTTGCATTAAGAGTGAAGATTAGAGCGTCTTGGTAAAGGATGACGAGGTCAACGAAGGGTGGAGAGTTTATTTTCAAAAAATGTTAAATGACGAATAGGATGGAAACACAACATTAGGAGGAATGACATAATTAAGTATAGAGATCATAGATACATTAGTAGGATTAGGATATTTGAAGTAAAAGAAGCTTTGAGAAAGATGAAAATAGGAAAGGCTTGTGGACCACATGGTATCCCCATTGAAGTTTGGAAGTGCATGGGGGAGATTGGTATATGTTGATTGACTAAGTTGTTCAACAAGGTGTTGAGAACAATGAAAATGCCAGACTGATAGAGAAAAAAATATTGTGGTACCTATTTACAAAAGCAAAAGAGACATACAGAATTATACGAACTATCGAGGGATAAACTTATGAGCCACACTATGAATCTGCGAGAGAGAGTGATTGAGCAACGACTAGGCGATGAAACGAGTGTATCGGAAAATCAGTTTAGTTTTATGCTAGAAAGGTTAACAACTGCGGTCATGTTCCTACCTAGGCAAATAATTGAAAAGTTTTCGTGTAAGGGAAAAGACCTCCACATGGTCTATATTAATTTAGAGAAAGCGTACAATAGGATACCTAGAGACTTAATTTAGTAGATGTTGGAAAAGAAAGGAGTCTCCAGAGGCTATACTGACATGGTGAGAGATATATACGATGAAATGCTAACTAGTGTAAGGAAAACTAATAAAGAGATAAGGAGTTTTTAGTGACAATAGGCCAACATCAAGGGTCAGCACTGAGCCCATTTCTCTTTTTTTTGGTTATGGACGAGTTAACTTGGCACCTACAAGATCAGGTACCATGGTGCATGTTGTTCGCGGATGATATAGTTTTGATTGATGAGACAAGAGGCGACGTCAACACAAAGTTAAAACTTTGAAGGGATATTCTAGAATCTAAAGATTTTAAAATTAACTGGATTAAGGCAAAACATATGGAATGCAAGTTTAATAATAATAAAAGTAGAAATGAGAAAGAAGTTAAGATTGATGGCCAAAAAATACTTGAAAGGGATTATTTTTATATCTTAGATCGATAATCCAAGAGAATAGAGAGATTGAGGAAGATGTCATGCATAGAATTAGAGCTGGGATGACGAAGTGGAGATATGCATCTATAGTTTTATGTAATCGCCACATACCTATGAAACTAAAGGGGAAGTTCTATAGGACAGCTGCAAGACCAGCCATGCTTTATGGGACGGAGTGTTGGGTACTCAAGAAACAACATACTCTTAGGATGAGTGTAGTTGAGATGAAGATGTTGAAATGGATGAGTGTCAAGACAAGGAAAGAAAGAATTTGGAATGAATGCATTGAGAATTTGGAATGAATGCATCGAGGTAATTAGGTATGGCTTGGCTAGCCATGTGCAATGTACGCCTAATACAATTCTGGTTAGGAGATGCAATTTAGTTCAAGTCGAAGTAATGAGAAACGATATGGTGACTTATGGTCTTACTGAGGGGATGACCCTTGATAGAGCAAATTCGAAGAACACGATTTTTGTAGCCGACCTCAAATAGTTGGGATAAAGTTCGGATGATGATGATGACGATGACGATGATGGCTTGAACTAGGGCTCCTACTCAAGCTAGAATTCCTAATTGTATTAGAATTCATCTTGTAAGTTTGAATTCAGTTTTGATTTATGTTTTATTAAGCAAGAAGAGTTAAAGATCCTAGATTGTTGTAGGTTTATTTCTACATTGTATTGTGGGAATTGCAGCTAAGTTTGAATAATTTTGTTGTGTTAGTTTTTAAGACAATTTTTCCTTAAAACTCTTCCAACAAAAACTACTGCAAACTACATATTAAGCAAGTAAATTACCAGTGACTTCAGCATGCCTTTATATACATAACCTTTGCCTTTTTGAGGGGTAGTTCTTATTTATTTAAGTATACAATCATGACCTGTTGAAATGTTGGGATTCAGTTCTGGGTTCCTTTGGTATTTGGCCCTTTTGCTTGCAGTGGTGTTTAAATTATTTTCATGCTACACTATTCATTACCTCTTTAAATTTTGAAATAGTTTTGTTCTGATGCTCTTCTCAGGTGATCACACGAACGTGGCAAACAGCCCATAAAATGAAGTTTCAAAGAGGAAATGTTACTGAACCAATTGGGTCCCAAAATGATAATTTCCGAATTAAGCGATACATTGCCAAATATACTATAAATCCTGCTATAGTTAATGGAATTTCTCAATATGTTGGATCAATTGAGGTAGGCCTATTTTTGCGGTGATATCTGTTCTCCATGTGTTTATTCCCTACAAGATATTGTTTCTCTATGCTCTCTTAGATCTTTCCAGTTTGCATTACTGCTTACACTGGATATTTTATATGCTTTCTTCAGTTTATAGAACTTCAATAATGACGTAATACAAATCAATGCATATTGTATATGTTGAAATATGAGTTAGATGGTTAACACAAGTTAATGTAGCACAATATCTGGAAACAGCTTGGCATGAGAGATGTTCTATTTTTGTTCAATGATTAATGTGGGCAGAATGTAAAATTCTGTTCTGTCAGAAAAATCCTAAGACTGGAAAAGGATATCTGCAGACACAGTGATTGAGTTTACTCTTTGTGGGTCTAGCTGACATACATCCTTGTCATATGTATGTGCAGATAAATCCATTCCTCCTGATATTATTTTCCCCAAATAAATTCTCATAGTATTTTCAAGGTTGAACACTAGATTATGGAACTTGATGCCTATGTTTTTCCAGGGAACACAAATGGTATCTGCTTAAAGGATACCCTCTGGAAATTCGTTCCCCTCAAAATATTTCTAGACAACTCTTCTGGCGGATCAAATTATCTAGTATTCCTTAAATTCGAGAATTCACTGGTCCCTATTGACCAGAATAGTACAAAATATTCACTACTTTATTGACCAATAATAATATTTTTAAAACACTATCCGTACATCTTTGAATGTCATCCATGAAGGAGACATTTCCAAGAAAAATGGCAAGAATATTGGAATTTTCATAGATAGTATCGAGCTTTTTGGTTTCAGTTCTGAATCCCAATGCTCTTAAATATCTCTCGGAAGCCATTGATGCTGCTGCTGATACCATCAACAATACATTATTGTTGTTAAGATATGTGTTCTTAGTTATAAGATCCTATGATGTCTAAAGATATCGCTGAACTTCGAATCTTAATTAAAGGATGATTTGTAAAATATTACTGGGAGTTTGCACACACAAGATAATGTCGTTAAATTTATATCTCACTTTGTGTGAAATCCACATATATCTGGGTAGCATGGTTGTGTCTTGACACATTCGAAGGTGCAATTTCACATTTGTATTAATAAGAAAGAAATTACAGTACAGATCATGTGTGTATAAACACATATACAAAGATTGGCATACCTGCTTAGCAGGAGCCATTTACAAAACTCAAAGGATATTACAGTCAGCCGACAGTCACTTGTCAAAATATAAATGTTAGTTAAAAAAGTGACTTGACATAGACTCTAGCACTTGATGGTCGCTTAAACAACAAATAGAAGAACTAGGTTTCTCATGTGTCACGAATCAAATGGTTGGACGATTAGGCAACTTAAATTCAGGTGAGCGTGTTGATTTTCAAATTACATTCCATGTTTATCTATTCAGCATCCCTGGTATTACAGGTTTTTAGTAGATGCAATGCTGGTATGTAATGCACATTAAATGCTGGTCAGTTTTCATGGATTTTGCATATCCATATTGATCTAATGCTTTCTGCTATTCGCTTGCTTGTATCATACATTAGCATAACACTCATCACAATTTAACTAAATTATGTGAATGGATTAGCTTCTACAATTTTGGCAATAACTGGAGATAATGTTCATAGGCTATTGTGCAGAAACATTCTAGTGACAGATATTGTTGGAAATTATATTATTAAGTTTGCAGAAGACAAATAATCTTGAGAAAAGTTCTGATGACATCATCATGTTGGCTTCACCTTGTGAATTGCAGCAGTCAGAAATTTACAAAAAATTTCTCTTATATAAAATGGGAAAAGAAAAAGTAGAACATGTACTAGAGTGCATAGTGACAAGTGTTACAGGAAGCACCCAATTTTTTATCTTAGCTCTCTGTTCTAAATGTTTCTTTGCTCTGGTGCAGGTTGGAAAAATGGGTGACCTTGTCTTGTGGAAACCTGCTTTCTTTGGAGCAAAACCAGATATGGTGATCAAAGGTGGTGTAATTGCATGGGCCCAGATGGGAGATCCAAATGCTAGCATTCCGACCCCTGAGCCAGTAAGAGATTTCCTCTCATTTGACATGCTATTGATCGACTCACTTGTATATTGGATTAGAAAGGTAAGAGATTAGGTACACAAACATTGTAATTAAAACTGAAAATAAAAAATTTGAACATATGCTACGGCAACCTGCTCCAATAAACTTCCTGTTTGCAGTTCAGAAACTGTTATGAGGTGATGATGCAAATCATTGCCTCAAAATTCCTGGGCCCTCTGTAGAGGCAAAGTGGCTGATGGGCACCCAATATTGGTAATTTATGGGTGGATTAACAGGGGATATTAGAAACTGCATTGAATACAACAAATGCAACCATTAGAAAGAGTATCATAATGACCTAAAGGAAATCACAGCCCGATGTTTAGGGATGTAATTCATATTTGCAAGGACAGGAGAGTTGATTTACTTACAGATGACTTACTGCTATGTTTTCTTAAATATTCAATAGACCACTTCCTGAATTTCCTTGCCTTTTGTTTCCAGCAAAGCAATGGCCGTGCTTAAGAAATTATATTATAGGGTGATAGTTTCCCTGAACCATATTTATTCATGATATGATCCTAATCAAGATTAAGGATTCCAGCTGGTAGGAAATTGACTAGAAGGTAAGACTAAAATTGGGTAAGTTTTGGAATTATGTTATGGGTTGGTTTTCATAGTTAATGGGGATTTATGGCGGTGTAGGTTGGTAGGGAGTCTAGATGTTAAGAAAGTAGGTGCTTTGATTGGGATTGAGGATGAGGATTAGTTTGAAAGGCAGAAAGAAACTAATAGGGGAGAGTACCACGGAAATCTTTTTTTTTTTAGCATTAACAAAAATTTAATTATTGAAACAGAAGTACAATGAAAACACACAGAAGAGAGCCTGGAAAATGAAAAGAAACAGCAATGGAGGACCGGCCCCCTCAAAGTAGATTGCAAGGCGGTTTCCCCCCAAAGAGTTTGTATATAATAAATTGTTACTTACTTTTGATAATTTCATCCATATTTTTAGGACAAGGTTTCTATAAGGCCTAGGCTTTATAAAAACAAAACAAAGCCTCACATCAAATCCTCATTCGGAAAGCACTTTTGGCAACGGAAATTTCCATGATGGCTCTAAAATCAATTTCCAACATCGAAAATAAAATTCGAAACTAAAAAAATTGTACAGATCTCTGAGCACTTATTTTTAAGGCGAAATGGACAGTCTAGATAATTTGTTACAATAGACACTATTTTTAGAGCTTGAAATCCTTTTTTTTTTTTCACAACCATAATGTTCAAGCTAAGATGAGTGATTTAAAGTTTTTCTAATGCTTCAATTACAATTTTTGATGAGTTATGAGGTGAGGCTTTACGTATTTTAATATGGCTGCAGTCTTATCAAACCTTTTTCCTGTTTTTATGGCATCAAATCAATTGGTATCAAAGAACTTTCCTAGAGCACAAGCCAATATTGTGAAGATGGATAAAATTGGGAGGAAATCCAAGAAAACATTGTTGTTCAAAGGAAAACCTTGTCAAATTCAATTCTACAATGAATGCTCTAAAATGTAGTGATGGCGCTACGAGCGAAGCACTAAAATGTAGTAAAGCAGCTATCTTATCTGCGATAACTCATAGATTTTAGTCACAATATGCAGATGCTTGTGCCTACATGTACCTTGAACACCACTGATTATGTGAAGCTAACGTCATGTATGGTCAAAGTGAGATCCCAATATCAAAAGAAGTTAAAGAAGGGAAAAATTAGCCAGAATGTGGCACTCTGAAAAAAACAGAAATCATGTAGCTAGAAATCTGCACAAGGGAGCTAGGAAGGCAGAGTTGCCAAAGATCTGCAGGGAGCACTGGTATCAGAAACCCCACAATTGACATCTAAACAAAATGGTGAAGAAGATCTCAATCTTGTGGAACTGGGAAAGCCATTGGGCAAAGGAGAGTGGGGTGAGGGAAAATCCTGGAGGACATGATTGTTTCTAAGGGGGTGGAATGATATGATCCTAATCTGGAATAGGGAATCCAGCTGGTAGGAAATCTGCTAGACTGATACAAATAAAATTTGGTAACTGTGTATTTATTTTATGGGTTGGTCTTCCAAGTTATCAGGGATTTATAGTGGAGTAGGTTGGTAGGAAGTTTGGATGTTTAGAAAGTAGGTGTCTTGATGGATTTGAGGAAAAGGAAGGTTTTGAGAGTTGGGAAGAAATGATTAGGGGGAGAGTGGCACTTAGAAAAGAGCTTGTAAGATCAAAAGAAAATCTAATGAGGACCTACTTCCTCGAAGTGGTTATAAGGAGGGTTGCTTCCTCAAAGATGCTACATCAAATAAAGTGATTATTTATTTTTTGTATTTTCCAGCTATATTTTTTTGGAATCATATCAATGAATCTATCATTTACTATAGGTATTGTTCCTACAGCCCTAAACACTGGTATGATGGCATACGTCTTATTTTATAATTAAGCGTGCGGTTTGTACAGAGCCGAGGCTCTAAACAATCAAATTAGAGCCCACATTCAAATAGTGTCGAGAAATGTAGTTTCAATATTGGAAATTTTTTACTAGCCTTAAAATATATTTTCATCTTTAATTATAAAATTTGAAGCTTCAAAAATAGTGTAGATCCAGCAGATATATGAAAACTTAAATAACTTAAAAACTGACGGTCCAAAAATGTGTTACAAGATGTACTATTTCCAAAACTTGAAATCCATTTTTTTCTCAAGTCCATGCATCTTGATGTTGAGATGATCAATTTGAGGATATTTGAGCATCAAAACAACCTCTTCTAGTGAAAATTTTGAGGTAGACTCTAATTTGATGTTTAGAACCTAGGCTCTATATAAACTTTTCCCTTTAACTAATGATAGTTACAGTCTGCTGCCCAAAGGCTACTGTCATCACCAGGTTTCCCAGTAAGTCTCTTTGAAGATCCAAAAGTCGGCGGCACAGCTGTTCACTGTTTCATTAATATTGAAAGTTGATTTTCAATGATGCAGGTGATGATGAGGCCCATGTTTGGTGCATTTGGGAAGGCTGGAAGCTCCACCTCTATTGCTTTTGTTAGCAAGGTAATTCAATGATACTCCCCATTTCTCTTTCTTCATGTCAAGTGCAATAAGAAATTTATCTGCTTGATTGTTTAGTTTACTGATAAGAAATGAACTTTGTTACGTATGAATAAAAATAACAGGCTGCCAAGGATGCTGGAATTGAGAGGGAGTATGGGCTTAAGAAGAGGGTGGAGGCTGTAAAGAACGTACGTTCCATAACCAAATTAGACATGAAGCTCAATGATGCACTCCCCGACATTGAGGTTGATCCAGAGACCTATCAAGTAACTGCAGATGGCATGCTTCTTACTTGTGATCCAGTGAGCACGGTCCCCCTCTCTCAAAATTATTTTATTTTCTAACTTTCGTAGGATATTGCAATGAAAGCATGTTCCATGTTTTGAAAACCTCACGCCTCAATGAAACACATATTATGCTATAATGAAGTTTCTTCTTAAGATTTTTTGTGTTTGACGAAATTGAACCCCAACTGTGTGACTTGTGAAAAAGCTTTTTGGGCTTTCCAGAAGCATGAGAAATTTCAATGTTGATCGGGCACTTGCACTTTTTCATCTTTCCTCTTCCCCCATATTTTACATCAGCGTATGCCTGCACTATATGATGCAACCTGATCTAAATGATATCTATTAGTATATCTTTAGTTCCAAAAGAAAAAATTTGGGATATGAAGCCATAGAGATAATATTCTCCAGCATCCTAAACTAAATCGAGACTATCAAATATCCAACATTTAGAGCTTGAGTTTAATTGTTGAGCGCTTGACAATTTGCAACTCTACATCCTAGGTTCAATTTCCTACCAAGGGTCGGGGCCTCTCCCCACTAACTCTCCCATAATAATAATAATAATAATAATAATAATAATAATGATAATAGTAATAGGCAAAAGATCATGTCAGCCCCCGTGCTGATAGCTGCAGTGTCAGCCACTAACCCAGATTGAATATGGGCCGATCTGAGGGTCATTACTTCATTTCGTGTTTGAATTTTCATTGTTTTTCTACAAATCCAAATCACTTGAAATTTGGAGCGTTTATTTTTCAAAAATAGAAGAACATAATAAAAATAATAATTCGTAAAATATAAGTTGATCAAAATACCCACGAAACAATTTGGGGGTATTTTGATCAATTTATATTTTGTAATTTTTTTTTTTATATATTTTTATTAGGTGCATCTTGATGAGAATAATGAATGTTTAAAATTTCAAGTGATTTGGATTTGTAGAAAAAAAAGTGAAAATTCAAATACGAAATGAGATTGCAACCGTAAGATCAACCCATATTGAATTTGGGTCATTGATATTGTAGCAGTTTGCCCATGGGCTAACAGAATCCATTCCCATAATAATAATATCCAACATTTGGATGGACAGTCGCGGAAACAAATATTTTCTTGATAATGGTTGCTGCTTGCTAGAGCTGACTTTAAGGAAAATGGCCAAGAAATTCAAATGTGTGTGGTTCTCATATGGTCGTAATTTTAAACAATTAAAGTAAGACGCACCATTAAACTTTATCATTAGATGTAATTTTGGCATAAAAATTTCATAGTATGTCTTGAAAATCCATTTTCATCTCTAATTATAAATTTTTAGACTCCAAAAATGGGTCAAATCAAATAGATTTATAAACACATGAAAATATTATAAATGGACAGTCCCGATAATGTGTTGCAAGATGCACTATTTTTTAGATTCAAAATTTCTTTTTTTATTTTCATATTCATACATCTCAATGTTGAGATGATGGATCAGAGCATTTTTCCAACTTCAAAACAATATTTTATGATGGACGTTTTAGTGTACCTTAATTCTACATGGTAAGGTTGCAACCTTATAAAAACTTTTTTCAATTCAATGCGCCCCTTTTTTAGATTAATTGGAAGAGTAAAACGAATTGTTGAAAGCTGAGGAAAGCCCATATGAAAATGCAACAAAAAAAAAAAGGAAAAAATTGAAAATTTGAAGTCATAAGGATTATGCAAAATGTACTTTTGAGTTTCCAGAATGAATACTTCTTGTAAAGGCTCCTATTGATGTGCACTATGTGGAGCGTGATACCCTTCCCCATTGGTAAAAGTTTCTATAGAGCCTAGGTTCTAAACAATCAAATTAAAGCCTACCTTAAAATTTTTAATATAAGAGGTTGTTTTGATGCTCAAATATCCTCAAATTGATCATCTCGACATCAAGATGCATGGACTTGAGAAATAAATAAATTTCAAGTTTTGGAAATAGTGCATCTTGTAATGCATTTTTGGACAGTCAATTTTTAAGTTATTTGAGTTTTCATAGATTTGCTCGATTTACATTATTTTTTTTAAACTTTAAATTTTATAATTAAAGTTAATAATATATTTTAAGGCTAGTCAAAGATTTCCAATGTTGAAATCACATTTCTTGACACTATTTGAAAGTGGGCTCTAATTTGATTGTTTACAGCCTCGGCTCCATACAATCCGCACCCTCCTCCATTTTCTTACTTACCCCCAAAAAAAAAAAAAGAAAAAAAAAAGAAGCTTCGCCATTTTCTTCCCACAGGGCTTAAAATTATCGAGAAATCCTTGCACAAACAACCATTAATCTTATGTCAAAGAAATAAAGTGTCTTATCGAGGCTTGCGGAAAGGATGGTGTTCTATTTGGGAGCTGAATTTGGTGATGATGTATGCAAAGTAAAAATTCCATTTGTTCAAAAATAAATAAATAAATGGAAACCTATAGAAAAATCCAGTGTTATTTTCAAAATTAAAAAATATTCCCATATATTTCATATTTTATTTTACATGGAAATCCTACTTTCTGAAAGCATAAAATGTTATTTAATTTTACTTTTTTATCTATACATCAAGATTAAGCTCAAATTTGGTACGTCTACTATTCACTATCACACATCCGTTAAAAAACATTAAAAGTTAAAAGTAAAAAAGTCCCTGAATATTGTAAAGGATTTGGGTAATTTATTTTTAAATAAATTTTAACATTTTTTATAGTATGGAATGGGTGAGAAGTATAACCATGTCAATTTAAGCTTAATCCAATATATGGAAAAGAGAAAGCTTTCTATGTTCCCCTACAACATAGAAGTTCTATCCTCCCCCTACCATCCAGCCATCCATTTTTTATCAAGAGAGCCACTCATCGTTTGATCTTAGATCCAACATCTCAAAATATTTTATTTTTAGTTTTTTTAATACAAATTTTATAAATATGAAATTTGGTACGTGCCATCTTCTCATTTT